AGCTACATCAATCACCAGCTGAGAGCTGTATCAACTTGGGGAAATAGATGGCAAGTAACATTTGCACCTGAGAAAACGCAAATGATGATCGTCTCTAGGCACCATGATGGTAATGCTGGTGCAGTAGTAAGGATGAATGGGAGGGTGTTGGCACCTGGAGAAGAAGTTGATATCCTTGGGGTGAAATTTGACTACAAACTAACCATGAAGAACCATGCTGTAAATCATGCAAACAAGGCAGCCAGGAAGCTTACAGCACTTCGCCGTATCTCGCATCTGCTTGACAGTAGGGGTTGCAAGATCCTGTACGAGTCACAAGTACGCTCACACCTTGAGTATGCTCCACTTTCTTGGTTTGCCTGCCTCCCCTCTCATCTGCGACTGCTTGACAGAGTAGAGAACAGAGCAAGACGTCTCATCTCTAGCCTTGACCCATCCTGGATAGATCTGTCATTTCAGCAGAGCCTTCAACATAGGAGGGATGTGGGTGGCCTTACTGTTATGTACAAGGCCAATATTGTCAAAGTGCCACACTTGGATCAACTTCGAGGACAGCGTGAAACAAGCTTTTATGCCACAAGACGGGCAGAAAGCAGCAACTTCACTCTGGCTGTACCCTTCTCCAGAACATCACTCCATCTGAGATCATATATACCCAGGATGACTCGAGTATGGAACACATTCATACAGCATAATGATGTCAACGAGATAAAGTTCAGTTGATCAAATGAAAAATGCTGGCCCACAGATGGCTCCAACTTCATCCTGTTCCCTACTTGTATGTCTCATAACAATAAAAATGCTTTCAAATGAGCTGATGTAGGTAACAGCTCTTAGCTTGGCAATAAAGTTAGGAATCCTTAACCTGTAAATAGCTTGTTAATAAAGCTAGGGATCCTTAACCTTGTCAAACCCTGTGTAAAAAGAGAGAGAGAGAGAGAGACTCGCTAGCATGTTGCAGAACACAGGTCCAGCTGCGGGATCAATCAGTATGGATGAGAGGAGTGAGTGCTAATGTCGGGACGCCCAGTAATGCACGTAACTTTGCGACACCAAAACACTCACCTTTGATATGTAAAATCTCAACCCTTCCTCCTCCCTCATTCCCCCCACCTGTCACCTGCCTACAACTGGGTGAGTACAAACAGGCAAGAGTGCCTGTCTGATGCTCGGCAAGTGTATCTGTCTGACGCTTGGCAGACGGAGGATCAAGCCTCCATCACGTCTTTCACTGAATGACCCACATGGTTTTTAGCGCTTAACATGAACAATAATAATAATAATAATAATAATAATAATAATAATAATAATAATAATAATAATAATAATAATATGGACACATAAAACCAGCAAGGATTTAGTGCTGGAAAATCTGTCTTGTAAATATGGAGGTTCTATGACAGTCACAGAGAGAGAGAGAGAGAGACTGCCAGGGTTGGGTGAACTGCATCTTCCTGGACTACAGGAAAGCATCTGCTACTGTGCTAAATCACCAATTAGCAGAACAAGTAGGGTAAAAAGGGTAGAGTGCTAAAGAGAGTAAAAGAAAGGGATGAATTAAAAGGGGAGAGAATAGCGAGTGGGGTTCCGCAAGGTTCAGTGTTATGGCCACTACTGTTTCTAATACAGGTGAATAACCTACCATAGCGGATTGAATCCTGGGTGTCGCTTTTGTGGGTGATTTAACACGAGAAGAATAACAGGTGTGGGGGGGTGGGTGGGTGGTGGTGGGTGGTGGTGGTGGTGGTGGACGGGGTGGTGTGGTGGTGGGACGGTGGTGGTGGTGGTGGACGGTGGTGCTGGTGAGTGGTGGTGGTGGACGTGATGTGGTGTGGTGGAGGGTGGTGGTGGTGGACGGTGATGGTGGTGGTGGTGGGGTGGACGTGGTGTTGGTGGTGGTGGACGGTGTGGTGGTGGACTGGTGGTGGTGGTGGTGGTGACGGTGTGGTGGTGGTGGGGTGGTGGACGGGGTGGTGGACGTTGTGGTGGTGGTGGACGGTGGTGGTGGTGGTGGTGGACGGTGGTGGTGGTGGTGGGTGGTGGACGGTGGTGGTGGTGGGGTGGGACGGTGGTGGACGGTGGTGGTGTGGACGGTGGTGGTGGTGTGGAGGTGGTGGTGGTGGTGGTGGTGGACGGTGATGGTGGTGGTGGTGGACGGTGGAGGTGGTGGTGGTGGACGGTGTGGTGGTGGTGGTGGTGGAGGTGGTGGAGGTGGTGGACGGTGGTGGTGGGTGGTGTGGACGGTGGTGGTGGTGTGTGGGTGGTGGAGGACGGTGATGGTGGACGGTGATGGTGGTGGTGGTGATGGTGGTGGTGGTGGTGGTGGTGGTGGTGGACGGTGATGGTGGACGGTGATGGTGGACGGTGATGGTGGTGGTGGTGACGGTGGTGGTGGTGGTGGACGGTGGTGGTGGTGGTGGACGGTGGTGGTGGACGGTGGTGGTGGACGGTGGTGGTGGTGGTGATGACCGGTGGTGATGACCGGTGGTGATGGTGGTCGTGGTCATGGCGGAGGTTGTGGTTGTTTGGTAATGACTGTGGTTCTTCTTAATAGTGAGTGTGGTTGCTACTGTAACCGTGGTGGCTGTCTTAGTGGTTGTTGTGGTGGCTGGGTAGAGGGAGATACGTAGAGGAAGGATGGGGAGAGAAGATGGAGGGTAAGAGTGGAGGGCAGGCCCCCTGAAAAGGAAGGGAAGAGGGCGGGTACCTCCAAGAGAAGATGGGAAGAGGCGGGCCCCTCTAGAAACGAGGGGGAGGGGCGAGCCCCCTATAAATGAGGGGAAGGGGCGGGCCCCGTAGAAACGAGGGGAAGGGGTGGGTCCCTAGAAACGAGGGGAAGGGGTGGGGCCCCTAGAAATGAGGGGAAGAGGCGAGCCCCCTAGAAACGAGGGAAAGGGCGAGCCCCTACAAACAAGGAAAAGGGGTGAGTCCCCTAGAAACGAGCGGGAGGGGGCGAGCCCCCTAGAAACGAGAGAAGGTAACCTAGAATAAAGGGAAGTGGGAACCCCCTAGACACTAGGGAAAGGAGCGGGCCCCTAGAAACAATGGGAAGGGGCGGGCCCCCCTAGAAACAAGGGGAAAGGGGTGGGCCCCACTAGAAACGAGAAGGGGGCGGGCCCTTCTAGAAATGAGGAGACGGGGCGGACTCCTCTAAAAACATGGGGAGGGTGGCGAGCCCCCTAGAAATGAGGGGAACGGGCTGCGCCCCTAGAAACGAGGAAGTGGGGAGGACCTCCATAGAAACAAGAGGAAGGGAGCCCTAGAAACGTGGGGAAGGGGGGGGCGAGAAACGAGGAGAAAAGGGCGGACCCCTAGAAACGAAGAAAAGGGGTCCCCCTAAAAACGAGGGAAAGGGGCGGCCCCCTAGAAATGAGGGGAAGGGGGCGGGCTCCTTTAGAAACGAGGGGAAGGGGGCCCCTAGAAACGAAGGGAAGGGGCGGGCCCCTCTATAAGCGAGGGGAAGGGGAGGACTCTCTAGAAATGAGAATGGGCGGGTCCTCTAGAAACGAGGGGACGGGGCGGGCCCCCCTCTAGAAATGAAGGGTAGGGGCGGGCCCCACTTCAGCTAACACCATCACGAAGATGCAGATGAGGGGGCGGCGCCCCCCCGTCTCTAACATAGCGCCAACCACCCCAATAACTTGACACCCGATAACGCCTTCTCCGGGAACCAGGAGGGGAAGGGGGGGTGATAGATGGTGCCAGGGAGGGGGGTGTGTGTCATGAGGTGTCAGAGGGAGGGGGTGAAAGGTGGTTCCAGGGGAGAGGGGGAAGAGGAGGAAGAAGAAGAAGGAGAAGAAGAGCAGTAGCAGGAATAGCAGAAAAAAATGCGATGTGGTAGCACCAGGAAGAAGGAAGAGGAATGAGGAGGAGGAGGAGGACAAGGACGAGAAAAGGAACAAGGAGGAGGACGAGGAGGAGGAGGAAGGAGAAACGGCGGAGGCACTGGAGACAAAGGAGGAGGGGGGGTGAAGAAGAAGCAAGATGGCGGCCAGTGTAAACAAAGAAGATCAAGTGGGTGACAGGATTTAACAGCCCTGGCTGAGAATGAAGATAATTTTATACAAGAAGGTAGGGTGATGATGGCAGTAAAGAAACACAGAGTAATGCCACAGCAAACACTACCAACTCTGAGAGCCAACCATGGGCGCTTTTATCTATGAATAAAAGGCGTGAAGCGAGCAACAAAACCAGTGCGGAATAGTGAATTGGAATGTGTAGGGCTTTTGTCCAGTCATGTCGGTCTGTGTAGGGCTTTTCTCAGGTCATGCCTGTCTGTGTAGGGCTTTTGTCCAGTCATGTCGGTCTGTGTAGGGCTTTTTTCAGGTCATGCCTGTCTGTGTAGGGCTTTTGTCCAGTCATGTCGGTCTGTGTAGGGCTTTTCTCAGGTCATGCCTGTCTGTGTAGGGTTTTTGTCAGGTCATGTCGGTCTGTAAAGAGGTTTTGTCAGGTCATGTAGCTCCGTGTAGAGCTTAGTCAGGTCATGTAGCTTTGTAAAACTCTTATTAAGACTTACCATATCAGAAAATCATAGAGAATAACAACTCAATACAATACATGCAACAATACATAAAAATTGAAAAAAAAAAATACTGGGTGTAACGAGTCCAAATCTACACAGTGAAATGACTGCTTACAAGCACGCGACGCCCCGCGACGCCCCGCGACGCCCCGCGACACCCCGCGACGCCCCGCGAGGCCGGGCAGGATAGTGACAAATGGTGATGCGACAAAACTGTATTACGAGTCAAGTCTAAGTATAAATAAATGAAGACTCTTCAACCTCTTAAAAGTATAAATTACTCCAACAGTGACGCACCTGGCACTGTCTGCACTCCACAGCACACACAACTCACTGTGGCACCGTTATACTCCAGCTCCTAGTACCACAACACACAACTCACCGTGGCACCGTTATACTCCAGCTCCTAGTACCACAACACACAACTCACCGTGGCACCGTTATACTCCAGCTCCTGGTACCACAACACACAACTCACCGTGGCACCGTCCACGGTGACAGCGACGCGGTTCTGACTGGAGACAACATCGACAGTAAGTGTCTTGGGAGGCGACTCCTGAAGACGTAGGTTGTTCCTCCTGCCCACGCCAGCACTGCCTCCGTCACTCTCACTACCTGTAGCACACAGTAACTACATGTAACACACACGGTAACTAACTGTAACACACACGGTAACTGCCTGTAACACACGGTAACTGCCTGTAACACACAGTAACTACGTGTAACACACAGTAACTACGTGTAACACACTGTAACTACCTGTAACACACAGTAACTACCTGTAACACACAGTAACTTCCTGTAACACACGGTAACTACCTGTAACACACAGTAACTGCCTGTAACACACACGGTAACTAACACACACGGTAACTGCCTGTAACACACAGTAACTACCTGTAACACACAGTAACTGCCTGTAACACACACGGTAACTAACACACACGGTAACTGCCTGTAACACACAGTAACTACCTGTAACACACAGTAACTACCTGTAACACACAGTAACTGCCTGTAACACACACGGTAACTAACACACACGGCAACTGCCTGTAACACACAGTAACTACCTGTAACACACAGTAACTGCCTGTAACACACGGTAACTACCTGTAACACACAGTAACTGCCTGTAACACACACGGTAACTAACACACACGGTAACTGCCTGTAACACACAGTAACTACCTGCAACACACAGTAACTTCCTGTAACACACAGTAACTTCCTGTAACACACAATAACTACCTGTAACACACAGTAACTACCTGTAACACACAGTAACTGCCTGTAACACACAGTAACTACCTGCAACACAGTAACTGCCTGTAACACACAGTAACTTCCTGTAACACACAGTAACTACCTGTAACACACAGTAACTGCCTGTAACACAGTAACTGCCTGTAACACACAGTAACTACCTGTAACACAGTACCTGTAACATACAGTAACTGCCTGTAACACACAGTAACTGCCTGTAACACACAGTAACTACCTGTAACACAGTACCTGTAACATACAGTAACTGCCTGTAACACAGTAACTGCCTGTAACACACAGTAACTACCTGTAACACAATAAACACAGTAACTAAATGCAAAATACAAACACACACACACACACACACACACACACACACACACACGGGCCAGGAACTATGAATCGACCCCTGCAACCACAAATAGACGAGTACACACACACACACATTTGGCCTATCAGTGAACATGGAACCCACAAAAGATAAAACACCTCTAAGATCTCAAAAAAAAAAAAAGTTGGAAGGTGTGCAGCCAGGCCAGGATAGCACCGGAACTGACCCAGACTGTGAGGAAAGGTAGAAAGAACTTATCCTGACCACCATGGAGGACTACCACATTGTGTTTGTAATGTGTATGTTGGGTGTGTTTGTAATGTGTATGTTGGGTGTGTTTGTAATGCGTATGTTGGGTGTGTTTGTAATGTGTATGTTGGGTGTGTTTGCAATGTGTATGTTGGGTGTGTTTGTAATGTATATGTTGGGTGTGTTTGTAATGTATATGTTGGGTGTGTTTGTAATGTGTATGTTGAATGTGTTTGTAATGTGCAATTAATGTTTGTGTGATGTACATACTTTGTCCTCGTTTCGATCATGAATGAGATTTTGTATATATTTTTTTCGTTATTTGTTCCCGACGCAGGGAGAGACAGAGACTCACTAAATCTCAAAAAGGCTAATTAAAAACATTAATGTTTGCTAAATTCGGGCTAGGAGCAAGATATAGTGAATGTGCTGTACCATGATACATACAAGTACACACTACAGTGTTAGTTGATGTGTTACGACTACAGATGTTTGGCGTATATGCTGTGTACGCCCTGGCTGCGGTACTCACCTGTGGTGGCGAGGGGCGTGCGTAGTTGTCGTGTCTTGTCCACGATGAAGGACACGTTGATGGTGATCGTAGCCACCAACACCAGCATCAGTCCTCCCTGAAACACACCAACACCAGCTTTAGTTCCCCCTGAAACAAAACAACACCAGCAACAGTCCTCCCTGAAACATAACACCAGCATCAGTCCTCCCTGAAACACAACACCACCAGCATCAGTTCCCCCTGAAACACAACAACACCAGCATCAGTCCTCCCTGAAACACAACAACACCAGCATCAGTCCTCCCTGAAACACAACACCACCAGCATCAGTTCCCCCTGAAACACAACAACACCAGCATCAGTCCTCCCTGAAACACAACAACACCAGCATCAGTCCTCCCTGAAACACAACACCAGCATCAGTCCTCCCTGAAACACAACAACACCAGCAACAGTCTTCCCTGAAACATAACACCAGCATCAGTCCTCCCTGAAACACAACACCACCAGCATCAGTTCCCCCTGAAACACAACAACACCAGCATCAGTCCTCCCTGAAACACAACACCAGCATCAGTCCTCCCTGAAACACAACACCAGCATCAGTCCTCCCTGAAACACAACACCACCATCCAAACAACTAGCCTTGCCTCATCTATCCATCCAAACAACTAGCCTCGCCTCATATATCCATCCAAACAACCATCCTCGCCTCATATATCCATCCAGACACACTAACCTCACTCTGACACACAGACACCAACACTCACCATAGCTAGCCTTGCCTCATCTATCCAATTCACAACACGACCTATAACAATCAGGAGAGAGAAACAGTTCGACGTGTCGGTCCCTCTAGGACCGTCTAAATCTTGTATTAGTTATAACCTAACTTCTATACATGTATATATATTATTATTATTATATAGTACTCCTAATATTTCACGTCTGAACTATCATTTCCAGCAGAGATGAAGTACACCCAGTACAGTGTACAGGACGACAGTATACCAGTACACCCAGTACAGTGTACAGGACGACAGTATACCAGTACACCCAGTACAGTGTACAGGACGACAGTATACCAGTACACCCAGTACAGTGTACAGGACGACAGTATACCAGTACACCCAGTACAGTGTACAGGACGACAGTATACCAGTACACCCAGTACAGTGTACAGGACGACAGTATACCAGTACACCCAGTACAGTGTACAGGATGACAGAGTATACCAGTACACCCAATACAGTGTACAGGATGACAGAGTATACCAGTACACCCAGTACAGTGCACAGGACGACAGAGTATACCAGTACACCCAGTACAGTGCACAGGATGACAGAGTATACCAGTACACCCAGTACAGTGCACAGGATGACAGTATACCAGTACACCCAGTACAGTGTACAGGACGACAGAGTATACCAGTACACCCAGTACAGTGCACAGGATGAGAGTATACCAGTACACCCAGTACAGTGTACAGGATGACAGAGTATACCAGTACACCCAGTACAGTGCACAGGACGACAGAGTATACCAGTACACCCAGTACAGTGCACAGGATGACAGAGTATACCAGTACACCCAGTACAGCGTACAGGATGACAGAGTATACCAGTACACCCAGTACAGTGCACAGGACGACAGAGTATACCAGTACACCCAGTACAGTGCACAGGACGACAGTATACCAGTACACCCAGTACAGTGTACAGGACGACAGAGTATACCAGTACACCCAGTACAGTGCACAGGACGACAGAGTATACCAGTACACCCAGTACAGTGCACAGGATGACAGAGTATACCAGTACACCCAGTACAGCGTACAGGATGACAGAGTATACCAGTACACCCAGTACAGTGCACAGGACGACAGAGTATACCAGTACACCCAGTACAGTGCACAGGACGACAGTATACCAGTACACCCAGTACAGTGTACAGGACGACAGAGTATACCAGTACACCCAGTACAGTGCACAGGACGACAGAGTATACCAGTACACCCAGTACAGTGCACAGGATGACAGAGTATACCAGTACACCCAGTACAGTGCACAGGACGACAGAGTATACCAGTACACCCAGTACAGTGTACAGGATGACAGAGTATACCAGTACACCCAGTACAGTGCACAGGACGACAGAGTATACCAGTACACCCAGTACAGTGCACAGGATGACAGAGTATACCAGTACACCCAGTACAGTGCACAGGACGACAGAGTATACCAGTACACCCAGTACAGTGTACAGGATGACAGAGTATACCAGTACACCCAGTACAGTGCACAGGATGACAGTATACCAGTACACCCAGTACAGTGTACAGGATGACAGAGTATACCAGTACACCCAGTACAGTGCACAGGACGACAGAGTATACCAGTACACCAGTACAGTGCACAGGATGACAGAGTATACCAGTACACCCAGTACAGTGTACAGGATGACAGAGTATACCAGTACACCCAGTACAGTGCACAGGACGACAGAGTATACCAGTACACCCAGTACAGTGCACAGGATGACAGTATACCAGTACACCCAGTACAGTGTACAGGATGACAGAGTATACCAGTACACCCAGTACAGTGCACAGGATGACAGTATACCAGTACACCAAGTACAGTGCACAGGATGACAGAGTATACCAGTACGCCCAGTACAGTGCACAGGACGACAGTATACCAGTACACCCAGTACAGTGCACAGGACGACAGAGTATACCAGTACACCCAGTACAGTGTACAGGATGACAGAGTATACCAGTACACCCAGTACAGTGCACAGGACGACAGAGTATACCAGTACACCCAGTACAGTGCACAGGATGACAGTATACCAATACACCCAGTACAGTGTACAGGACGACAGTATACCAGTACACCCAGTACAGTGCACAGGATGACAGAGTATACCAGTACACCCAGTACAGTGTACAGGACGACAGAGTATACCAGTACACCCAGTACAGTGCACAGGATGACAGAGTATACCAGTACGCCCAGTACAGTGCACAGGACGACAGTATACCAGTACACCCAGTACAGTGCACAGGACGACAGAGTATACCAGTACACCCAGTACAGTGTACAGGATGACAGAGTATACCAGTACACCCAGTACAGTGCACAGGACGACAGAGTATACCAGTACACCCAGTACAGTGCACAGGACGACAGAGTATACCAGTACACCCAGTACAGTGTACAGGACGACAGAGTATACCAGTACACCCAGTACAGTGCACAGGATGCCGGGGTACAGGTGCAATGTTTTGAACGGTGAGGGGGATTGCTAGGGTGAGTAGTCTGGCTTAAATCGAATTAGAGTTAGCACTGACCTCTTTTATAGATATAACTATACTATTTAAAGGGGTGGATCGGTAAGCCAGTGGAAGGCCTCGGTCAAATGACCAAAAGCTCCAGCTGTGGGGTCATCATATGACTAAGACCCGCGTCAGGGAACACTTGCCCTGTTTCCTGACAAACCTAATACCTACCTAGCTATAAAGTATTCTGCCATTCTATGTAGTTAGACCATTCTTTCTCTCCTCCCTCTTTCTTTCCCCCTCTCTCTCTCCCTCTATCTTTACCTCTCCCTCTCTCTCTCTCCCTCTATCTTTACCTCTCTCTCTCTCTCTCTCTCACCCATGTCACCAGCAAGAAAGAGAAACACATCGGTGTGACGCGAGTTGTGTTGGCCTCTTGTCATATCCATCATGGAGACCAACATTAATATTCTTACTTCCCTCACGGCCCACAGACACATTTCTCTAGGCTATCCCACTCTCCCACTTGCTCCTGCTGAACCAGACTGACTCCTGCAGAGTCCTAAAGGAGTCCTGGTGTTCCTTGCTGAGTTGTGTGGAGTCCTGAAGGTTACTGAAAAATGGTATGCTGATACCGACAAGATGTGGAAAAAGGCACTGATGTACAGGTCAGGGCATTTATTAAAGGAAACGTTTCGCCACGAGTGGCGAAACGTTTCCTCTAATAAATGTTCTGAACTGTGTATTAGTGTCTTTTTCCCGAAGGTTACTGCTCAGACATTAGAAGTCCTGCTGTTTTCCAGAGTACTACTGCTCGCTGTTGCTGCTGCTGTTGCTGCTGCTGTTCCCTGGCCTCGTTACAACCATCCCACTTGTCATCCGCGCACAAAACAATGTTTCTTAACAGACATCTCATGTTTGCCAAACAAGTATTGCGGAACTTCTTGTTATTTGCTTTTCAAGCAAGACATGAGCTAATACGAAGACATGATCTAATACGAAGACATGATCTAATACGAAGACATGATCTAATACGAAGACATGATCTAACAATAAGACATGATCTAATACGAAGACATGATCTAATACGAAGACATGATCTAATACGAAGACATGATCTAATACGAAGACATGATCTAATACGAAGACATGATCTAACAATAAGACATGATCTAATACGAAGACATGATCTAATACGAAGACATGATCTAATACGAAGACATGATCTAACAATAAGACATGATCTAATACGAAGACATGATCTAATACGAAGACATGATCTAATACGAAGACATGATCTAATACGAAGACATGATCTAATACGAAGACATGATCTAACAATAAGACATGATCTAATACGAAGACATGATCTAATACGAAGGCACTCAGAGCAGACCAACGGGCGTTATTACCACGTTACGCTGGAGGAGAGCTTTATCAAGTCCTTGAGTGAAGCTGGCGTCTTAATAAAGCTGTGCTCCGGTACAACTGTTGTTTGTATAAGTCCTGTTGATGACTCCGGGTATTATCTAGGCTCGTGCAACTAGGTAGCGTGATTGCCCTCACACTTGACGGACGGTGGATCGAGTCTCGACTCGACCCACGAGCTTAGTGACGCGCACACTAGCGTTTAATTCCTCACATAAAATATATAAGAATCGTGACCACCGGGGCCCGGGCGACTAAAATAAAAGCGCATTCCAAAAACAATTGATCTTACGAAGGTACATTTGTTATGATTCGTGAGGAAGTGTACGTACCTGCAGTAACTTGGCCAGACGTCTGCCCCGCGGCAGTAGGAGCGGCAGATGTCTGTGGTACACACTGCCGGAGACGCTGCTGTTGCTAGCAGTGCTGTTCCTGCTATTGGGACCCACCCGACGACCCTCCTGTGCCCTGCGGGGCACGAAGGGTGGTGCCCTTGGGTTGGGTCGCCAGGAGTCCATCCCACTCACACCTCCGCCAGCCTCCTCACTGATGTGGGGGGTCACGCACGCTCACACTCCACGCCCATCTGTGTGAAGAGGAACATGTGGGGTTACTACACCATGGTCAGATGTATATTATCACACTCCCTCACACACTACACCCACCTGTGGGAGGAGGAACATGTGGGGTTACTACACCATGATCAGAAGCATATATAGTGTGCCTATGAAATGACCACCTTTCCAAAATTTCGGACCAATAAAACGTCTTATATTATTAAAACAATACAGGCTTATAGAAAGTTACAGGTCTATAGAATGTGTCAATTTGATACAATACTCCTTATGGTTATAATCATAACCATGATTTTTAAAGGGGTGGAGGGATAAGCCAGCGTAAGGCCTTGGTCAGATGACCAAAAGCTCCAGCTGCGGGTCATCATATGCCTCAGACTCGCGTCAGGAAACACCTGACCGGTTTCCTGACAAACATTCTACCTACCTCTACAGAATGTTTAAGATACAGTGGCACTCGCAACCATGTCGTCAGGGTGAGCACTCTAGACCTCTTAACTTCGTCAGGGGTTAATTTGTGACCCTTTAAAACTACGTCACGAGCTAGTTTAGTGATTCTTAAAATTAAGTCAGGGGCGAGTACAATAACCACTACCAGCACCACCACAACCGCCGCTACTACTACCACCACTACCAGCACCACCACAACCACCGCTACTACTATCACCACTACCACCACCACAACCACCGCTACTACTACCACCACAACCACCGCTACTACTACCACCACCATCACAACCACCGCTACTACTACCACCACAACCACCACCACCACAACCACCGCTACTACTACCACCACCACCACAACCACCGCTACTACTACCACCACAACCACCGCTACTACCACCACTACCACCATCAACGTTGGCTTGCTGGTCATTTCATTTAAATTAACTGCTTGGCAACAATGTAAAGGCCAATACTTTATTAGTGAACAAGAGGCAGGATAGCGAGAGGCTAGCATGTTCCACCCTGATACTGCTGACCTAGCCTCACCTTAGTATGACCTAGTACCATTCTCTTTGACCCTAGCATGACTCTCACTGACCCCTAGCATGACCTAGCATCATCTCTGTTGACTGTAGCATGACCTAGTACCATTCTCTTTGACCCTAGCATGACTCTCACTGACCCCTAGCATGACCTAGCATCATCTCTATTGACTCTAGCATGACCTAGCATTACTATCACTGACCCAAGCATGATCTAGTACTATCCTCGTTGACCCAGCATGACCTAGCACCATCACTGTTGACTCTAGCATGACCTAGCATTACTATCACTGACCCAAGCATGATCTAGTACTATCCTCGTTGACCCAGCATGACCTAGCACCATCATTGTTGACTCTAGCATGACCTAGCATCATCTCTATTGACTCTAGCATGACCTAGCATTACTATCAGTGACCCAAGCATGATCTAGTACTATCCTCGTTGACCCAGCATGACCTAGCACCATCATTGTTGACTCTAGCATGACCTAGCATCATCTCTATTGACTCTAGCATGACCTAGCATTACTATCACTGACCCAAGCATGATCTAGTACTATCCTCGTTGACCCAGCATGACCTAGCACCATCATTGTTGACTCTAGCATGACCTAGCATCATCTCTATTGACTCTAGCATGACCTAGCATTACTATCACTGACCCAAGCATGATCTAGTACTATCCTCGTTGACCCAGCATGACCTAGCACCATCATTGTTGACTCTAGCATGACCTAGCATCATCTCTGTTGACTCTAGCATGACCTAGCATTACTATCACTGACCCAAGCATGATCTAGTACTATCCTCGTTGACCCAGCATGACCTAGCACCATCATTGTTGACTCTAGCATGACCTAGCATCATCTCTGTTGACTCTAGCATGACCTAGCATTACTATCACTGACCCAAGCATGATCTAGTACTATCCTCGTTGACCCAGCATGACCTAGCACCATCATTGTTGACTCTAGCATGACCTAGCATTACTATCACTGACCCAAGCATGATCTAGTACTATCCTCGTTGACCCAGCATGACCTAGCACCATCATTGTTGACTCTAGCATGGCCTAAGCTCACTTCGACGACATAAACAACAGGATGGTATCTTCTTATAATTCCTCAAGGTACTTATGGCTCGGTGGCGGCAGTGGGAGTCCTCCCAAACATCCAAGCTTCGATAACGTATATTTATTGCACATTAAAATTGATTTACAGAGTGTGGGATGACCAAAACAACTGATATTGTGTTGATTTATATAGCAACCCCCCTACACTACCACCCCCTCTTTCCCACACTATCCACCCTGCTCTCCCACACTACCTACCCTGCTCTCCCACGCTACCCATGGTGCTCTCCCGCGCTACCCACCCTACCCCTCCTCTCTCCCACACTACCCCTCCTATCTCCCACATTACCCCTCTTCTCTCCCACACTACCCCTCCTGTTTCCAACACTACCCCTCCTCTCTCCCACACTACCCCTCCTGTTTCCAACACTACCCCTCCTCTCTCCCACACTACCCCTCCTCTTTCGCACACTACCACCCCCTCTCTCCCACATTACCACCCTCTCGGTCCTACACTACCACCCGCTCTCTCCCACACTACCCACCCTACTCTCTCACACTACCCCTCCTCTCTCCCACACTTCCCCTATCTCCCACACTACCCCATCTCCCATATTAGTCGGGCTGTGATGCGTACCTTGTTCTTGGAGTGACTAACGCCAACAGTCTGGATGGTCAAATCATCCACCCGGAGGCCCAGGCCCAGACCAGGCTGGGATTAAAACGTGACGCTGGGATTAACACGTGACACTGAAATTAACACGTGACGCTGGAATTAACACGTGACGCTGGGATTAACACGTGGGATTTACGCCTTTTTTTAAACCATACTAAAATCCAGACCAAAATGGTTGCCTGCTGCCCCATATATTATTTCCAAGCTGGTTGCCATGACAACCTACGCAATTTCAGCCACATATATATATTTTTCTACGTGTAAATTTAATAATGATAATTTTATCAAATTCTCAAAGCTTCGAGGTAGCATACTTAAACCACGAGAGAGAGAGAGAGAGAGAGAGAGAGAGAGAGAGATTTTATTTAGATTAAATTAACAATCTATAAAGGAAGGTGTAAAAAAATCTCACTCTATACCTCTCTGTGTCACTATTATTTGTAACGGCTTGATAAAGCTCCTGGAGAGCGAAACGTTGCCACAATAAAATGTCACATTAGTTGCATCTGTGTCCATTTATCCAACAATCTGTGGGTAATTCTACGGTTATTACCAATGAGGATATCGTCAAGTATTCCAGCAAGGGTTCGTCAGTCAGGGCAGCTTCAAAGGTGTCCTTCCAGCAGAGCTGCAGTTACTGCTACCTCGGGAATTACCGTCTCTCAGGATGGCGTGCCCCCATACCTAGGACACTATTTTTTTTTTTACCAAGATACCTCTATGATAACAGAGCGGGGGGGGGATATTTGCGAGACAAAAACAGGGAGGGGGTACTAAATCTGGACTACATTGTATATCTAAGAATACAGACGTATATCAGTATGTATACAATGCGGATTCATCGATGCGGTGGTCTCTTGACTTTTTTAAAACATTACATTACGAGGGTATTACTACTATAACTAGTACTATATAACTAGTACTACTAAAACTATTAGTACAACTAGTACTACTACCACCTCTATATACTCAGTCTGTTCATGAAATACATTTATATGTTGCCTTAACAAACGTCGCTCGTCTAGTGACGACCAGCCTGATCGTGAAGCTGGGGAGGGAGTGCAGGAGAAGGGGGACCTGGAGAAGGAGGGAGGAGCAGGGGGAAGGAAGGTGTGAATCCTATCTGCAGAATAACCCACAGGTCAATATACCTAACAACCGTCCACACAGCATTCATACCCATTAATGGAAACCTGTCGTTTCCATTACCAGCAAAAATCGATCAGAAAAGAGAGACACGGTAACCGAGGGAGAGAGATTTAGCCAGCGTCGAAGTTGATTCTTTTTTGGGGGGATGGTTGCCCGGGCGAGGCGCAGGTGTCCAGGATGTGTGGGGGAACAAGCGTGATTGGTATCCCCCCCCCATCCCTGGCGTGACGGGACATGCTGATTGGTCCCACCCTGCCCCGACAGGGTTCTCTAATTGGTCCCTCCCTGCCATGACAGAACCTCTGATAGGTCCCTCCATGGCAAGATAGGTCCTCTGGCCCCTCCCTGCCGTGACAGGGCCTCTGGCTGGTCCCTCCCTGACATGACAGGGCCTCTGGTCCCTCCATGCCGTGACAGGGCCTCTGGCTGGTCCCTCTGCCGTGACAAAGCCTGTGATTGGTCCCTCCCTGCCGTGTAATGAATGGCAGGTGAACGTCAGTTTTTTACGATCTCCTGACTGTATGTGAGAGCAAGTTATAATTGAAGTAACTAAAGTTATTACCCGAATAAAAGTTAACAACGGCAACCCCAATCATTTCTCCGGTGCTACGCCGAGGCACTAACAACAAGCACTCTCAACAGACATTAACAACAGGCACTCTCAACAGTCAGTAACAACAGGCACTAACTAAACAGACAAACAACAGACAAAAAAAATAAATACACAAATATCCCGCACAAAGGAGAGAGAGGAGCTTATAACGACGTTTCGGTCCGACTTGGACCATTTACAAAGTCACATTGACACAGTAAGGAAGCCAGTATATAAACACGATGGGGACAGAGACACGACAAAGAGAGGAAGAAGGAAGTGGTAGAGGTAATGCTGGTAGTGGTAGTATTAGTAGTAGTAGTAGTAGTAGAAGCAGTAGTGGTGGTATCACCACTATTTCTACTACTAATTCCACTATTACTTCTGCCACTAAATAAGACAACACCTTACTCAGCAAACACTACGAACGCAATACATCAACATCTGTGGTCCAAGACGATGCAACACCTTAGCAGAAGATATCAGCAACACTGCTGGGACAAATGTAGAAGTCTTTAAGTTCCACCA